AAAACCCAGCTTAATTTTTAAAGTGCAGCTGCTTGGAACATTGTGTCCTTAGAATTAACTACCTGAGATCAAACTGACACACCAAACGGACTCTAAGTGTTAGCAAGGAAGCTTAGGAGCAGTGATACTTAAGATAAGATCATTTTAAGTTTTAAAATAAAGATGGGGGGGACCCTCAAGAATGCAGTACAGCTTGAAGACTAGACCCAATGTCACTGAGTTGTACACATACCATTCAACTGTTACAGTGGTATATCCCTGGCTGTGCATGAAACCAAAGCATCGACTCATTAGTAACCCTATAGCACTCACCCGGCCCCTGTCAATTGCCAAGATTTTAACTGTATACGGGAAAAGAACGCTTGTCTTGCTCCCGTGGAGCTGGCTAGTGGTTTCAAACTGCTGACCTTGCCGTCAGCAGCCCAATGCATAACACCACTATGCCACCAGGGCTCCTTTTGGCTGTGTATACTTTTATACCCCTACCCCCACCCCCAAAAATTTTAATGCTGGCTGAAGGAATGAACATCTACAGTCCACTTACTACATGTATACTTTATTTTGCTAAATAGAGCCAATAAAAACAGACACTCTTTGGTTTACGGTTCTAATTTCACTTTCCTGGGCAGAGAAGGCAGCCCCACGCTCTAAGCATAGTAGACTTTAGGTTAAACTTGGGGAAAATGATGACCAATGAAGAAAACTGCCTAAATTGGCCCAATGCTTCTTGAGAACTCAACCCCCCACCAACATTGAAAGGAAGAGCTGCCCGCCACTTGAGCATCAAGACTTTTGAGCAGAGCTTCGGAACCATTTGCTGAATCATTAAAACTCTACTAATTGAGCAAAAATGACGGATAGCTGAGTAGGTAATACAGAGGCCACAGGTCTTGACGTCAGTGGCCTGACGTCCAAAACCAGAGGGGGAAAACTTACAAGGAGGAACGTGCCAGAGTGTCAGGGGTGAGAAGGTCTCCCTCTCCCTGGGAGGAGACCAAGAAAGGTGGCACCGGGGCTGAGCCGGAGGACAGGAGTATTCTGTGCTCACACACAGGACAAAAAGGCCAAGCCGAGAAAGGGCTGTGCATCAGCAAGAGCGAGAGGAAAGAAAGCATGTGTCAACGCAATTGGGCAGAGGAGCCGAGGGAGTCAAGGAGGGTGGAAATCCAGTGGGACACAAGGTTAAGACCAATGAATGCCAAGGTTATTCATTTTTAATACATTTCATGAGGAAACCTAAGGTTGCACAGACTGAACAGGGGAGTGGCACAAGCGGAGCAATGTTCTGGGACACGTTGGGATCGATGAGGAAGGAAGGGCTACACATGGGGCCACCTATAGAGATGGGTACATTCACGCACACATGCATTCGCCAATTATGTATTGTGCACCTGCTGTAACATTCCTGGGTGGGGCACACAGTTCACACACTTCCCGCTAACAGGTAGGCTGGAGGGTGGAGTCTCCCCAGAGGTGCCTTGGAAGAAGCCCGTGGCGTACAGTTCTCCTCTGGGGCAATGGGGTCGCCATGAGAGATAATCAACTTGATGGCAACTGATGTACTATGTGTGCCAGACACACCAGTGTGCAAAAGACACAGACTCTTACCCTTGAAGGGTTTGCATGCACGGAGAAGAAAACAAGAGCGATATAATTATATTATAAAGCGTGGTAGATGGTGAGCAGAGCAATGAGGGACAGAGACAAAGTTCCGGGCTCAGGAGCACTAGAAGGTGGGTAAGGAACCTGGTGTGACAGCCAATGAAGGGGTCAGGGTGGGCCTCACAGAGGAGGAAAGATGAGGGCAAGAGCTTGAAGAAGGCGAGGGAGCCAAGCACCTGGGCACAGCACGTCCTGAGCGGAGACAGGAGCACTCCCAGAGGCCCCTCCAACACCAGGCACCGCCATCCAGTTGGTGCGGATCATCGTTTGCAATGAAGCGGCTGCTGACCTGGTACGAGGGTTCATCGAAGCAGGGAAAAGCAGCTGGTGTGTCCAGAGCACACTGAGCCCAGGAACACGAGAGGAACTGAGTCAAGAGAGGTAAGCCTATCCCTTTCACCCTTGGCGAACGGGAGCCACCCTCTGGGATGACAGGCTCACTCCTGGGCATGAGCAGGGACGCCATCTCCAAGGTGGAGGGACCAGAGCGCCTTGGCCCAGGGGAGGAGCGGGCATGGGGGGATTGGGGTGGGGGAGGTGTGCTCTGGTTTTATTTGAAAGGCTGGGGCAACAGGATTCCCGGCAAGTCTTTTTATTAGGTGTAAGAGAAGGGGAGGGGCCATCCAAGATGACTCCAGGGCCCATAAGGCAAATGGAGGTTACGTTTAATGAAGATCTCCACAAAGATCGGAGCTCATGGAAGGGCGCAGAAAGAACACTTACAAGCCCTGTCATGGCAACTAAATGGAAAACACTGGAGGTGGATGGCACAGGAGGCCAGGCTCTCCATTTATTCCACCTCCTATTGAAACTTGACTCTGTGTGAGGACCCCCCAAGGCCCTAAGAACACAATGAGCACCACGGCAGCCTGCTCTCTGTCCTAACGGGACTCCCGACAGGGTGGTGCTTATGAAAGAAAGTGAGGAAAAAAAAAGAAGTATATTAAAATCAACAGGGTCTTATTAAGAACACATATGATTCAAGTTAACATTAATTTTTAAATTAGTCCACTGGACTAACAGACCACACCATTACCTCAAGATCAGAAGAACTAGATGGTGCCTGCCTACCACCAAGTCGTGCTCTCAAAGGGATCACATTTAGAAGGTCCTGAACCGAACAGGAGAAAAAGGGGGAACAAAACTCAAAATCATAAGCAAGACCAGGCTCTGTGGTCAGACAGAGACCGGCAGAACCCTAAGATTATGTATGGTCCTTCATCGCCTCTCAGTCTGGACCTGAGCTCAGCCCCATGGCTTAATTTTCAGCTAAGCAACAGACTGATCTATAAAGGGAACAATAATTTGAGGGAGGTACCATACCTGATAATAATCGACCATTTGAGACCCAGAGGGCAGCATTTACTCAAGGATGAAGCTCCAAAGAGTCAGGAGAAATGGAAACGGAAGTGCAGGGAGCAAGTGGGAGAGGTGGCACTACCTGATAGGATGGCTGTCAACGACACAAAACAAAATGTGTATGAATTGTTAAATGGAAAACGGATACATGCTGTCCTGTAAACCTTCACCTGTTTCACAATAGTTTTCAAAATAAATACTGTTTCCTGAGGTTTATTATATTAAATAGCTCCTTAAGCTATTAATTAGGAGTAAATATGAGTCAATACTTGTGATAAAATTAATCCCTTTGTGTGGCCTTTGGCCTTGGTTCTTTGGGGAAGGTTCCCCCTAAGTCTGGAAGGATTACGGTTGCCCTCGTTTATCACGGAAGGTCTCGTGCGCTCGCGGGTTGACGCCATCCCCTGGGCACGCTGTAAACAAAGGAGGCTGCCCACTTTCTGTCACCGCCGCCTGTGAATGCTAGGCTATCTTGCAGGGACTGGCCAACAGACTGCCAATGAGGTAATTTCTTTCTGTTGTTTGGGTTTTTTAATGTCTGAGTGAATTTGTAGGTCACTAAAGACCCCACATCCACGTCAGGTTGACTTTTCCTCCTTTGTTAGCCACTTGGACCAAGATTTCAATCTGAGGAGGAAGGGATTTAAAGAGGTTTGTTTTGTTTTGTTTTCTCTTCCCAGGAAGCAATTTTCCCCCATGTGAAACCCTCCATGTTTTTGTCCCCCTCCTCTTCCCTGTTTGTCACTCTGTAACTGAGGTGATTTGTAGCCAACAATGCAAATGAAGTGCCTGCAGCCCTCTGAGAGGAGATTGGTCAATGCATGGCTCTGGTGGGCGGGGCCATGCCTTGAAAAGTGACAAATGTTTTTGTACTTAAGCATCCAACCCCACAGAGATTTTTTTGAGATGGGAAGAAGCAGGAAGAAGAGAGACTGGGCAGGCAAGGAATCCCACAAAAGAGCCGTGCCGTTACAAGAGCCCAGGGCTGACACTGCCGACAGTGACAGACTGAAAGTGCCCAGTGGTGACAGGCAGCAGGTCCAAGAGGGTCTGTCCTCAGGGGCCTCAGAAGAGCTGTGCACTGTCAAGCTTGCTGAGAGACCTGTCCTGCACTGGAGGAGGGTGACACTGTCTGCAGACTTCCTGGATCAAAGGTATACCCTGTCCTGTGGCTTCCTTAATAAGCCACTTAACCACAAGTCTGAAAGTTACGGGTGGCCATCGCAACAGATTCTCAAGCCCAGAAGTGGAGAGGGTCATGAGAGGGCTGAGTGGTTTCCGGACTGATAGAAGGGATGGGGAACAGTGTGTAAAACGCGTATTAGTATTAATACAGTGCCCATTAGACAATGGTGGAGAGAGAGAGAGAGGACACATCAGACCAGAGAGGACTAATCAGACCAAATCAATGTATTAGTATTAATACAGTGCCCGTTAGACAATGGTGGAGAGAGAGAGAGAGGACACATCAAACCACTACCAGGAGCACATGGGTAGTGAGGCGCTCCACTCGTGCTGTCAACAGGTGGCACAAGCAGGGGCAGGCGCAGCCCTCCCTGCCTGGAGGGTGGGTGACTCCTAAGCTAGATGGAAGGATGAACAGGTGGGGAGGTGACAAGGCTGAAGTCTATGGCACGGGAGCCAAGGATGAGGTATGAGGAGATGAGGGGACCGGCCAAGGCTCCGAGCCTGGACACTGGGCATTCCCAGAGCCTTGGGCGGGTCTGCTGAGCATACCATAATCTCCTCAGGATCCAACTGGTTCTGCACACAGGCGGTTGGCTCAAGACACACCTTTGTGATGAATAGGGAAATTAGGGATGGGAACTGACTTCAGGGGAAAGATGAGCTCTTCTGGGGGATGTGTTAGAGGGCAGCGGGGCCATAAGACAGATTGAGAGGCAGATCCAGAGCCTGTGTTGGCCTTCTGGAAACACAGTGGCCATGCTCCAGGGTGCTCCCTGGCGGGCCGGCAATACCTGTATTTCCTGGATGTTTTCCTCCTCTCTGGCCTCCACCTTCTTCTCCACGCCCTCGCCACGGAGCAAGGCTTCCAAAGTAGTGCTTTCTGAGGTGAGCCCATCCTTCTTCAGGGGCAGCTCCACTTCTGAAAACAAGCACAAAAAGAGCCAGTCAGGCTGTGGAAGAGGGAGGGAGGGAAAGGAGAGGCCCATTCCAGAGAGCAGGCAGGGACCAGGGCCCTGGGGAAGGTGGCTGACAGCAGAGGGGCATTGGAGTTGGGGCTTTATTTCTGCTCCCGGTTTATAAGGCCAAAGAATGTAGTCGGGTCCGCAGCCTCGGGGACAACAGAGGCAGAGCAGAGCTTGGGGCCAGAGAGCCCAACCGCAGACCTGCTCTGCCTCTCTGAGCCCAGAGACATTGGCCAAGGCACGTCAGGAACCCAGAGCCCGTTTCTGCGTCTAGGAAGTGAGGTGAGCGATGGCTGACATAATGCGTCACTGACGTGCTGACCTCCATTATCCCAGGAGAGGCCAGTCCCGGGAGCAGGTGGAAAAGATGCAGGGCAGCGAAAGGAGGAAGGCCTTCGTAAGCTGGGTCATCACAGCGGCTGCACCGATGGGCTCACGCGTCAGCATGATGGGGAGGATGGCACAGGACCCGGCAGCGTTTCCTTCTGTGGGACACGGGGCCCTAGGAGTTGGACCGACTCAATGGCGCCTAACGGTGTCTCAATTCTGGTCTCACAACGCCATTTCTTTGCTACGCTGGAGTCCCAGTCCCGGTTGGCTCCATGAAAAGCCATGTCCACCGCCAAGTGGCTTTTCTAAGCAACCCAGTGGGCAAGCAGAGGCCTCTACACCAAAGGAAGGGAAGGCGCGTGCGCAAAGGCCCAGCAAGGCCCGCATCGGCAGAGTGGAAGCTGCATGTGGGCTCTCATGCAGGGATTCCGTCAGAAGCTAGCTGGAGTTTAATACGCCACCTGGGGCCTGAGTGGCCATTACCAGCTGAGCAGGGTCCGCGCTGACCAGGAAGAGGCCAGAGAGAAGCTGAACCCCTTCTTCAAAATGTTCCCCATGAACGCCCAACCAAAAGGAGGCTGGTGTTTGTTGGTTTGCTTTTGTGTTTTTGTGGGTTGTTGGGGTTTTTTTGGGGGGGGGGGTTTTTTTTTTTTTTTTTTGCATTTTAACTGAAAACAAACTTAGACTATATTCAGTATGGTCAAAAGTTGGAAAACCCAAGTGCCCATCAATAAATGAACAGGTACGTCAACACAATGGAATATTAGTCAGCCATCAAGACACACAAAGTCCTCACACAGGGAAACCATCGAGCTGAGTACAGGCAGGCCAGCATTACAGGGACAAATACTGTATCACCACGGTTACAGATGAAACGTCAAGGAAAAGCAAATTCAGAGAGACAGAAGTTTATGAGTGGTTCCCTGGGGTGGGAGGAGAGGGGAGAGATGAAGAGAGTATGGTTAGGCAATGCTACAAAGGATTTTAAATGATGAAAATTCTGGAAACAGTGATTTTTGCCCATCACGGTGAATGAAGGTGATGTCGCCGACGTGCGCATGTAAAAGGTGGTTGGAATGGTTTCACATACCTCATGCCAATAAAACATAAGCAGGAAAAAAGGCAGCTCAGGTGTTGTTGTTGTTGTTGTTGTTGTTGTTAACCACAGTTGATTCTGAGCCACAGTGAGCCTAGAAGGCACAGTGCACTGTGCCAAGGGTTTCTGAGGCTGTAAGCTTTATGGGAGAGCCCCAGAGCTTGACTTACAACAAAATATTTCTCCAACTTCTCCTGTACCTCATGCCCTTCCTTTAACGGGCAATGAAACGCATGACCCCACAGCTGTGGTCAGGAGAACGGCGGCAGGACGAGGATTCAGCGAGCGCGGAAAGCAGGGGGAAGGAATGGCCCACTTGTATATGGGAACGGAGGTGGCTTTAGTGTTGGACTGTTTATAGAGGGGGTGGGCAGGATTCAGGGGACCCGCACAAAATCGTGAGCCGTCCCCACGCCCCAGAAGTGATGGTGGGGAGCTATCACCACTGCAGCTCCGGAAGGAACAAGAGGGAAGGAGTTCCCAAGGATCTGGCAACAGCATCCTAACAGAGACCCAGACAAGGGCGATGGACATCTCCTAGCTCCTCTCTCTTGGTTCCCATTTTCTGCCTTCCTGCTGGTACCTTCCTTGGTCAACCTCAGTCAGATGAAAGCCACGCACCTCAGTGATACCGCCCACTGAGGTCAGCTTCCTGGGGCGAAGCAGCAGAAAACAGGAAGAAGAATGGGTCTGGAGGAGCTAATGGAAAAGAGCCAGCACCATGTCCTTCTGGCCCTGCTGGGTTTTACTTATTGTGACCCAACTGGAAGGGTCCCACACTTTCTGTCTCCTCCCACAAAACCAGATCCAGTCCTTGAAAAAGAGGCAGGTGGGCATCAACCACGGGTGGCCAACCTCCAGTAAAAGGAGAAGGGAAGAAGTGATCTCAAGTCCCTTGAGAAACAAGGTGTTTGGAATTCTTATTCATAAGAAAAGGGAGCCTGGAGAGTGGAGGATCCCACTCCGTCAAGAAGCCTTACCACGTGCAAAACGAATCCTCTCATCAACAACTACTTACGGGGCTTCTGCCTCCATGTCCACAGGTGGTGAACCCAAGAAAGCTGGTCCCTGCCTCTAGACAATGAGTGTCTAGAAACAGACAGGGAAAAAAAATGCACAGTTTTCCTTCATAATAGGAATTAACGACAATTTGTAAATACGTGTGTATATACACATGCATAAATATACACATACACACATATTTGTAATTTTATATGCATGTGTGTATATATATATGCACACATAATTACAAATTGTAAGTTTTACGAAGGAAAACACGGGTAAAAAGTCAAATAATAATAGAGTGGAGCCCACTTAGCTGCAAGGGTCAGGGCAGGTCTGGGTGACAGAGTTACATTTAAGTTGCATGTCATGAACTGTCAACGGTCTGCTTTAATGAGTTCTGGGTGCACCATGCCACAGCCCGCTCGGATGACACATTATTCTTTCTCACCAATCTGAACAGTCTGCCACACGTCTCAGCTAACGCAACACACGCTTGCTGCCCCCTCCTGCCCTGTACTCCAAAGAGAACAGCTGGCCACCATCCCTCATACTTACAATAACCGGACAGAGTGTTGAAGCTCCAATTTAAGTATCACTTCTCCACACGTAATAAATCCCGTTTCTAGAATCGCACAGCATTTGAGAGCTGAAAGGGGCCTGACAGAACATCTAACTGAATCGTCTCATTTTATGAATGAGTCACTGGAGGCTCAGGAAAGTTAAGCAATGTCACCCAAAGCTGCACAGCTGGCTAAGAGCAGGGCAGGACGAGAGCACAGCCAAATGAGCCCGTCAAGACCCCGTCCCCGTCACAACAACGGGCTGGGCCGAGCCCAGACCGTGCACATACACTGAATACTGAACTCGACATCAGCGGAAGGTGGGGGCTCTTAGGACGCTAGCTCGCTTCATTCCCACAATCACTCAGGAGGGGAGTACAGTGACTCCGTTGTACAGATGAGGATACTGCGGCTTATAGGCTTCAGAAGGTGAACGTGAACAATACAAAGTGTGACTCTAGGAAACGTGGAAACTGTCAAAAATGAAATGGAATGCTTTAAAGATAGAAATCCTAGGAATTTAAAACTCCACTACCATCTATAGTCAATTCGATTCTTGCGACCTTATCCATCCTATAGGGCCAAGCAGAATTGTCCCTGTGGATGTCCAAGAGGGTAACTTTTCCCAGGAGTTAAAAACCCCATCTCTTCCCCAAGGAGCAGGTGGTGGTTTTGAACTGCTGATCTTTTGGTTACCAGCCCACTATACCATCAGGGGTCCCATTGACATTGTAAATACTACATAAATAGTAGGTGCTATCATTATCAAAGTTTGAGTAATTCTAATTTTAATGTTACAACAGCATCATCGAATCAAAAGAAAATGGAAGCCAGATAATGTAATTTTTAGTCTTCCTGTAGTCACATTTTAAAAAAGGAACAAGAGACAGAGGCAATTAATTACTCTATTTGATTTACTCCACGTAACTCAAATCTTACTTTAACACATGTTCAATTAAAATATAAAATGTAATGCAAAATATGATGTTTTGTATTCATTCTTTTACATTACTTCTCCAAAATCTAGTGTGAATTCTTACAGAATCTCAACTCAGGCTCGCCTCATCTCCTGGGCTCAGTAGCCACACCTGTCTCCTGGTTCCTGTGGGGGACCGTTTACCTCTACAAGAGACTTCCCAAAGTTCTTGACGTGAATGCTTTGAAAGCCCTTGGTAATAGAAACAGTAACATTTAATATGACCTTACTTCTTAAAATATGGAAGGAAGTTAAATATGGTCCTTACAGACAGCATGCTGGGTTGACCACTAGCAAACCCTAGTTTCAAAGCACTCTGGGTAAGGCTCAAGGTCAGAGTGAAAAGGTAACCCCTCTCAATGAACCAGCAGAGGGTACATTTTCTAGCTCCTGACTATAAAAAGGCCCCGAGTTGGGGGGAGGGGGAAGGTAACACGTCCAGATCCTTACCCACTGTTCATCCTGGACCTGCTTCTTACTGAGCCCCGGAGGGATTTCATCGACTCCATTTGTTTTCTAATCCTTCTCAACTGGATAGAGGGTTTAGTGATTCTTTAGGTATACACATTTTCAACCTCACACAAACTTGGGGACCATATAACCTGACAGAAGCCATCAAACATTAACTTAAAAAAAAAAATCCAACACACACACACATAATTCATCTTTAAATTAGCCTGATTTGATACACACGGATATAAACCCACGGATCGTTACTCTCTCCAGATCGGTAGCAGCTGTCACCCAAGCCAGCCTCCTCCCTGGGCCCCCGTAAGCAGCGCTGCCTCCACTTCTAATTGGGAACAGAGATACTCCTTGGGTGGCTTCCAGCACGATCCATCACACCAGAGACAGCTTCTGTGCAAACCGAAGCAAATCGGTTTCCAAATAAGAAGAAGAAGAAGAAAAAAAGCCTCTTAGACAAACAAGGATGGAAGCCCATAAAGTCTTTTTAAAAATAAATATAAAGCAAAGCCAAGCCAAGAAAAA